CTGCGTGCCGACTGTGTTCCGCGCCGGGAGATAAAGATAGGGGCGCTGGCCCTTTAAATAGTCGAGGGTGTTCTCGCTCAGGCCACCGTGACATCTCTGGGCGTTGGGACCCGGGTGGGGTGGGGTGGGGGCCGGAATAAACCGGGCCGGCACGAGACCGCCGGTGGCAGTAAAGGGCAGGGCAGCGGCCAGGACTCACCCCCCTCCCCACACACACACCCACACCCGCGGAGACGCCCCGGCACATCGTTTGCCAAGATCGACGGCTCGGCTGGCCTCCCTGCTTGGGATTCGGGAGCCGCACTTGGAGAGCGCCTCGGCTCTCGGTTTCTAGGGAATAACCTTGAGGAAGAAAACTCGCGCGCTTTTTTTTTTTCTTTTTGGCCCCGGTAAGTTGAGGTTAAAACATTGCCGCCGACGACCAGCTCCACAAAACTCGCGCGCTTTTTTTTTCTTTTTCTTTTTGGCCCCGGTAAGTTCCGCTTAAAACATTGCCGCCGACGCCCAGCTCCGATCTCGGCCAGGGATCGCCCTTTGGGGGGGGGGGGAAGGCTCGGCGTGCCGAAATTTCGCGGGCGTCGCCGCTTCGGGAAAGTCGGCGGCTGGTTCTTAACTCGGATCGTCCACGCGAACCGCATTCCCACGAATGGTGAAGTTCCACCGCTCCGTTCAGGCTGGCCTGACGGGGAGGCGACAGGCTGCGGGGGGAGGATTGCCGGGCGGCCTCTGACAGGTGGCAACCGGGACAAAAAAAATGAATTATTTCAACGGGCGCTGCAATCCTTCCCCGCCCCGTCGGAGCCTTCTCTTAAAACATCGAAAGAAAACACGGGCGAGCGCTTCTGCTTGGGAGGATCGACGCGACGGCAATGTTGGGAAGACATGTTTTTTTGTGTGGGGGGGGAAGAAGCAGCAAACCCAGGGTTAACTGGGGGGCTGCTGCGTGAGTGTTGCAGGGATTGAAACGAGAGAAGAGCGGCTGTGGGAAGCTCTTGCCTTGGCGTGCATCAGCCGAGCGCTTGGTTAAGGAGCAGCTGTGGGGCAAAGTCTCGGTTGGAGGTCTTTTGCTTGGGTTATTCCCGTGGACCCCAGGCGGTGTGAAGGAGTGAAACCTTCCTCCCTCGTGACAGCACCGGGAAAGTGTCACGCACGGAGTGAACCGGGGAGGGCAGCCGATTTACTTCGGGGCGCCGTACATGATGTTTTCGCCTGGGCGTCCCTCTGCCCCTTAAGGCGCGTCACGCCGCCCGGGTCTTAAGCAGGAGCCTGTGGGCACCTGCGGGGCCAGGCCTGTCTGGGCGGGTTATCTGTCAGTCAGGATCCTGGCATCCGGTGGGTTGCATCCGAAACCGCCTTAAGGACCGCCGCAAAGCAGAGATCTGAGCCGCCGTCGAGCATCGGCTTGCCTGGACTAAATGGAAGAGTTTGTGGGGTGGAATGGCGATAGATCATGCTCCCCCCTTTCCTTGGAGAGGGATCGGGACCGTGATTTCTGTCGGGACTGTTATCCCCTCCCCAAAGGTTGGGAGGGGAAAAGAAGGCGAAGCTACTCCCCTCCAAATAAAATAAAATAAAATAACTGCTGGCTTTCTAGCAGTCCGAGACCCAAAGGAGGCGCTGGGTTGGGGAGCGATCGCAGGCTGGAGTCCCCTTCTTGCCTTCTCTCTCTTTCTCTTCCCCCTCCCCAAGCGGGCGAGGTATTTATAGGCCGAGCCCGGGGCGCCCCGCCCGCCCCTCTTCTTCTCGGCCTGTCCGCGCCGGCTGGCGAGGCAGGCACACCCCGTTTGGCGCCCGGCCACGCGCGGGGCGTTGTTCCTGCTTAAAGGCGAACCTTTCCAAGGCCCGCCCCCTCCTGCCGGACTCAGCCGAGGTCGGGACGGAGTCGCCCGCCTTGCGATCGGACCCGTCGAGCGAGCAGGGGGAAGCAGGCGAGATCGCCGGGGAGGGAGCGAACTTGTGCAGAGCAGAGGTATCAACAATTCTCGGGCCCTTCAGGTGTGGGGTGTGTGTGGGGGGGGAGGGGAGCTCTCTCACCCCATGGCCCTCCGCGACCCCGTCTTTGAAACCAGCGCGTTTGCCCCTGCGGGTGCTGTTTTCGGCTACGAAGAAAAATCGGGGGGGGGGCGCAACCTGGATCTGTGGGTTCCCCCCCTGCCGGCGTAACTGCAGGGGATCCCCTGGGGAAGGAAGGGGTCCCCGTTGGCTGGACCTCAGTGGGGTTCTCGACGTTTGGGTTCTTGCCGCGCTCTTCTCTCTCTCTCTTCGTCTCCGGGGCTTGGCTGCATAAGGGGAGAGCGCGCTCCGTTCAGCCCGGGCTGGGGCTGATATAATTAGAAACGGCTTGAAACATTTTAGCACGTAGATCTTTCCCCCTCCTCTGCTTCTCTCTCTCCTTCCCTCCCTCCCTCCCTTCCTCCCCTTCACCCCGCCGTCTGAATTCCACTCCTCATAACAGTCGCTTGGCAGATTTTGAAATGTGTGTAATAGGTTGGAGGAGAGGCGCCGATGGCTGGAGTTTTGTTTTTAAGCCCAGAACTTTTCTCCCTGCATCTCCGGTCTCCTCCACCTACTGTACTTCCAAAGTCGCCTCCCCCCCCCTTACCTCTCTCTCTCTCTCTCTCTCTCCCCGTCGCCAATATTGCAATTAAATACCTGTTTGTCTGCTGATTCTGACTCTGTGTGATGTCTCTGTTTGGATGCCCTCCCCCATCCGCTCCCATTTCCTCTGTCCCGTCGCTGCCATCCTCCCCCTTCCAAAAAAACTCCTAGTTTTGAATATTCTCCAGACAGTTTTGTCATTTTCTTCAGCGTCGGTGGGGCCAGTTGGGCTGCGCTGGGGTGCTGGGCTGGTGGTTTAATGGAGTCCAAATGCTGATTACATTTGCAGGAGAATGGTGGCTTTGTGGCATAACGGTTTCCATTGCCCGCCTCCTACACCCCCTGAGCCCCAGGAGGGCTGGGCTGGGCTGGGCTAAGCAGGCGGCTCTGTTTTCCTACTTTATTTTAAACCTTGCGCTCTTGGGCTCTCTTTTTAATGCTTTGACACAGTCTCCTAGGCACACCTTTGGAGAACAGAGATTTGATTTTTTTTTCCTTGCTGGTCTCTGCTTCTGAGTGGATTCTCCTTTTTCTCAGCACCAAATGGAACGTTTGAGGAAACTGATGCCTTTTGAGTTCCCTTCATATGCCAGCAGTCACCTTTCCAAATCTGGAAAGAAATGGAATCCAGTCACAGGAAAGGAAATAACCCGAGGTGTGACATTTTTGTGGTGTAGCAGATGGAGAATTTTGCATTATTCTCTTGCAGTCTCGTCGGTTCTGATGTTTTCCTTCTGTGTGGGGCAGTGGCTGTGCCCAGTCTTCCTGGGTCTGGTATATTTCAGAGCTCTACCTTTTATCTTCAGACCTGTTAATTTGGATGGGATTTGTCGAACACACGTGCTTTGTACCTCCTTGTAATTGTAAATACTCCATTCTTTTAGAACTCCAAATTAAGAAATTGGAAACTTTTGATCCATTTTGGACACACAATTAATTTAAACTGCCTTCTGTTCATAAAGTGGAGATATGCTTTGTGCATTTGTTGAGCCTCCTTAGACTAAGCCTTATAGGGTATGGATTTTGTCTCTAAGGCACCCTCTACTGTTTGCTTCTAAATGATAAACTCTTTGTCCTAAGATTTCTGCATGCAGAAGACAGCTGGCCCCAGGTCCCAAACTTCTTTCCACGTATTTAACAATGTTATTCTCCTCTTTTTCCCCCCTCCAGACCAATCCACAGCTGTTGCCAAAATGCTCCTGTTGTTGTTGGGAATCATTGTCCTCCATGTTTCAGTTCTCGTCCTTCTCTTCGTTTCTACAATTGTCAGCGTAAGTACCAACAGTCCTCCTGACCTGTTTTTATTCCTTCAAGACCACCGAAATAAACCAGTGTTTAGCAGTCCTTAGAATCTGGTCCAGTGGTCTCTAGATTGCAGTAGCATTATGTCCAGGTAGAGGTCTTTGCTTCCCAGTAAATGTTCTTAATGCCTGCTTACTTGGGAATAAATCTCATTTATCTTGATGGAATATGTACATTGACAAACAGATTGGGACTGTCTCATTTATTAGCACATTTGCTTCTTTACTGGATTAATGAAGTCACAGTGTCCTGGAACAGCTTTATTTTCAGTACCATAAACTTCTGGATACTTGGCAAAGTTGCTTTGCCTTTCAGAGAATGTATTTTTGAGATGTGCAAGCAATTCGGTGTACTTGAGTCCTTTGTAGATGCCATTTTGAATCTCTGTAGTTTAAAATAAAACAGTAAAATTCAAGTTTTAGAATTAAAATGGGCTAAAACTTAAGCCAGAACAAATTTGAGGTGCTAAGGGAGAAAGCACAGTGGCGCATGTGTAGACTGAGTTCTCCCTCTACTAGGTAACTAATGTCGGCCATCACATGTTCCGCAGCAGGGAGAAAGCTTTCCAGAGTGCTGGAGGTGGCTTTGAGCCACATTTCTGTTCTTGTGTTAGAGATAACATCCCAAATGGCAATGTCCAAATGTCTTTGATCTATAGCTAGTTTGCTGTAGGCCTGTTTCATCTGTATGCTTTTCCAAAAGCTCTTGTAAAAATATACATAACCCGCACCTGCAACGGATGTGATAGAAGCATCCATGGAAGAGTTCTCATAGCCCTGCCACTGAGGGGTCAGCAAGCTCTGTGAGGTTTGGCAGCAGCTTAAACAGCGAGGCAGTGAAGGTGGTTCTTCCCCCCCCCTTTCAAAATGCAGTGGGGCCAAAGGAATGAAAGAACAGCATAGAAAGAGTGTTTCACTGCCTCCCATTGAAAGATAGATGTGTGCATTTTGTGTACTCAATCTGGAAAAAAGACACCTTATTTATACACAGAGAGCTTTATTATTCCTATGACTTATGGCATCTCTGTGAATAAGTGATCTCCTGAGGGTCCTATGATTGCCAGACCTGCTCAGGTCCTGCAAATGCAAGGCTGTGGTTTCTTTTATAGAGTCAATGCATCTCACATTTTAACTTCCTCTTTTCCTGCTGCCTTCAACTATACCCATTATTGTTCTTTCCAGTGAGTGTTGTTTTCCCATGACTTGACCAAAGCATGATAGCCTCAGTGTAGTCTGCGCGCTCTCTCTCTCTCATCAAGAGAGTGTTCTGGCTTGATTTGATCTAGAACCTACTTATTTGTCCTTCCAGTAGCCACAGAGAGCTTTAGAAAGCTCTTAAGAGGTTTTTGTTTTGACTCTCGATTCACTTAAGGTGTTAAAGGTTCTCAGAACTTGCCTGGGAACTGGCATTAAGTTTGAGATGTCTTTGTTCAGCCTACTGCTTCTCTTGGGTGCTTAGTTTCCATTTGGCTCCATCTCTTTCCGTGTTTTCCGTCCTCTCCTGACTCTTGCTTTTTCTCCCCCGCAGCAATGGCTTGTTGGGAATGGACACCTGGCAGACCTTTGGCAGAACTGCACCGTCGGAGCATCCCCAAGTTTGTTTCACTGCTCAACATCATCTACAAATGGTGAGGATTCTGAGTGCTGTTGTTCTGCCTAGTCCCTTTTCAGGACTCTGCTAGTTACCATCCTTTATTTTAATCCAAAATATAGCTCTGAAAGGAATGTGACAATGAAACTAGCTCTGCTGGCTTGTTCTCCATACAGTCTGGCCAAAAGTCCCACCCTCTCTATGTCTGTAGCCTTATATTCTCTCCCACCCACCCCCACCTCCCATGGTGTTAAGCATGTATTATCCAATGTCTTGTAAACCTTTCAGCAAACTGAGTGAACCTGCTTGCAATCCTCTGGTCACAGGGCCCTTTCTCTTTGAAAGCAGCGATGTAGGTGCTTTCTTCCTATTCTTAAACAGTGTTAGCTGTTGGTCCATGAGATCTGCTGGTTACATCCTTTCACTGTATTGTGAATGACGTGGGTGTTGTTGTTTTTTTTTCTAGACGTGGGGGACAGAAACATGGTTTTATATATGAAGGACTCAGGCTGCATCCTTCTGTTACAGCTACATAGTTACCTGCTACTTTGCAATAAATTTGATACTTCTATAATGTTCAAATCTGACAGCAAAATAAACAATGCAGAAACAATTGTATAAACAAGATATTTTTTTCCTATGGAAGATGACATGGGATTTCTCTCCCCCACTCCTTTGGACAAGAATACTCTGTAGGCAGAGACACACGGTGTGATCAAATGGGTATCTGTTCCCGTCCTTTGGTCTGCAGTGGGAGCAGATGCTGATCCATTCCTTTTCCTGATGTAATTGTTGGAGTGAACCAGAACATTTTGCCCTGCACTTTTCTGGGTCCCTGTCGGGAGCTTCTGGTTGTTTCTTTTTCTTGTGGGTAGGATCCTCCTGCTTTGATTCGTTTTCTGCACATGTGGATGCTGGGATTGAACCAAAGTGAGCTTTCTTCTTTAATTTCCCAGCTGGTTTCAATATCCCTGCCTTATTGGTGGATTAAACAGACATCTTAGCTACTTAATAACATAAGCATATAATGATATGCTGGCAATGGGACAGTGTTGTCTTCCGCTTCTGAGAAAGTCAGAGGGAGCACATAGTACATACAGTCTATCCTCCGAACACTTCTTTTGCCTCCCCCCTCCATCTGTCTGAGGTCCTGCCTCACTTTCCCAATAGTATGCCTACCTCTGATAGACATTAATGTCTATAAAATAAATCCCTCTAAAACTTGGACCCTTTTAGTAGAATATTCAGCATCCATATGGAGTGATTGACCGCACCACATGATTCCTCAAGTGGCCATGTTTACCATCATCTATGCCAAGGAAAGGAAAACAAAAGCAAACAAAGCTGCCTCAGTGCTTTGCCTAAGTCACTTCATGATCTTGAGAAATGGAAAGCTTCCTTGCTGCTTGCCTGTGGAGGAGAAGGAAGAGGATGTTTTCCATTTCTTTTTAATTTTTGGAAACTAATCCAGTGCATCAGGAATGCTTTGAAAGGGCTTTTAAAAATAAAATATGCAGCATCCATGGGCATAGGGCACCATGATGACTACTAGGGACATGATGACCATTCGTATATTGGGATTACATCAATTTATGAGTGTAACTTTCTGGTGATTATTGGCTGTGAGGATGGGGACTGAGACAACAGGTTCCTTGTTTTCCCATCCAGTTGGAGCTCATGTTCTATCCTTGGAGGGGAAGAATGGTCATTTTGATAAGGTGCCATGGAAAAGTGAAGACTTTTCAAGTGTGCTAGATAGCACTAGAGCTTTTTGTGCTGGACAAGCATTTTATGGATATGTAGTGTGTGTGGAGGACAGGATGGTTGTGGTGCATGGGAACAGAAGAAGCTGTCCTGAAATACAGGAGGGATAGAGAAAGCTCTTAGCCTACTAATTTTTAATGCAGGCTACTGGGGCCTCAGCAGGTAAGGTTCCCTTCTCACTTATCTCTATAGTCCATAGCCTAAATCCAGTTGCTAATCCCAACTGCAGCAGACCCATTGGGCTTTATGTACATACAGAGTAGTAGGTGTGCTGCAGTTTGGAACTGTGGCTGGATTTAGACATTGTTCTTTTCAGGATTTGAATGTGTAACATTGCCCTCATCCCCCCAAAACAGCCTCCCATTATTCTGAAACTTGTTAAGAGGGCAATGAAGCTTCCTTCCACTGGGGGCACCTTTGAGGAACTCATTTCTGGTTTTGTTGGTTTTCCTTCCCTTTTTCTTTCCAAACTGATAGGCATGGGATTTCCTGAGTTCACTTCTATTTTAGCTATGATGGCTAAAAATGGAACTAGTAGGATCTCATCAGTGGATGAATACCAAGGGCTTGGAACAAGCCACAGGAGACAGCTGTCTCCAGCAAGACTTGCTTACACGTGTCCTGAAGGCATCTGAATGCTTGTTGTTGACCACAGGACTCACTCCTCATTTGGTGTGTGCACTTGAACCTATGAAGTGCCAGGTGAAAGCATTTTCCTGGGTTAGCCCCCTATGTATTGATGATATAGGTTTGTAGCCAAAAGCAGAGTTTTACCCATGAAAGGGAAGTGGAAGGAAAAACAGGGTCAGAATAATGACTCGCCCTGAACCTTTTTCAATTTAATTCAATACTCACTGGCTTCAAGGTAGTTCTTTGGTCAGCAACTATATGCTCCACCCAACCTGGATGAATCATAATGTTCTAGGCAAATTCTTCTTTTTGGCAGCAGGGACAAGTGCTTTAGACACACATCTTGGTTGGAGGAGAAAATGTTTTGAAATTCCAAGGTTCCTCCCAGTTTATTCCAAGGGTACAGCGAAGAAGGTGCAGCTAGCAAGGACTGTAGATTTCTACAATTTGGTGTAGATACAAACCAAAGACAGACCAGAGAAGTAACCCAGGGCAAAATGGTTTGAGGAATCTTCATCCTGCCTAGTGCTCTCAGCAGATAACACAGTGTATGGAAATACAGGGACTATTAAGATAATGAATGTACTGCCAGCTATCAACCCTCTTGCTACATACCATTTGGTGATGCTCTGAGGATGTCTTTAAGGACACAAAGCTTCATTTCCATTGCTGCCTATCTTTGTTCATGCTTCTTAGGTTATGTGGCTTTGAAATAATGTAATTTTGATAAAAGCCTCTTGCTCCATCCTTAGTTATGCAAAGAATGGAGTTCTTCTGATCATAACTTGGATTAGTAACTGCACTGGATAATTTCACATTGAGTCATCAGGAGATTTGTATCCTAGGACAATTCGTTTAGCATGTCACGCAAGATAAATGAGCCCACTTCTGTATATCCTGTAAGGCTGTTTATTTCAAAGCAGAGTTGAAACGAATGTGGAAGACTTGCAATTAAGATTTTATTTCTGATATTTGGGCCTTTAAAAAAATCCACCATGATTTGTAATATGAAATTAAACCAATTCAGTATTTCTTAAATACTGAAGCACTTAGTGTGTGTGTGTGTGTGTGTTTTAAAAAAGCTCTGCCATATAAAATAGTAGTGGATTCATGAAACTAAAATAATTCAATGAGTTGCTTTCATCCAGAGCCAAGGGTCCACATGACAACTGTGGGTCCATCCTTTTTGAGATGACCAAATAGAGTTCTACACATAACCATACTTAGAAGGAGCAAATACCAGGGAACACAATGGGGATGTCTAGGTGAATACCCACAGGACTGCACTGCAGAGGTAGCAAACAGGGAGCTAGTTTTCAAGCTTGACCGAACTCTTCTTTGGGCTGGGTGTGGGAAAATCCAGGCAGAAGAGCCCAAGAGGCATGATGGAAGAAGCTTGGTCCATTGAAGGAGGTGTCACCCCTCTCAAACTAGAGATAGAATGCTCAGGCACATGATCCGGAGTGGCACGCGTGGGGGGGGGGGAGGTAATGTTTCTGTGGCTGAAATGCACATTGGCTTACCTTTTCTTTTGCATGTTGTCTAAGACCAGCCCTACCACAAGTTAGCCCATTCCCTGTGAACTAGGTTTTGTGTCCCATGGAAGGAGAGGTATACCTTTGCCCTCAAGAGTGAAAAGCAACAAGCTGGAGGCAGTTTTTCATCTGAGGAAAGGGCTTCCTAAGGGCTGCATTGGTTGGGGGGGGAACGACCTTAAGGAAAACATTTATGTACTGAAACCAGGTGTCCTTTGACCTTCTGTTACTTTGTTCTCACTATAAAAGAGGATTAATTTTGCACCAAAGCATGCTAGGGATGAGCTTGCACTCCTACGTTTCCCTGTTGTATCCTAAATTTTGCTTGCGAAATGTTGAAAGGGTTGAATTGGCTTCTTGCCATTTTTTTGGGAAATGAATGAGTTTGACTCCGGTGAATAATGAGCATTTATGACCTCCATGAGACTCAAAGCCTAGTATCTTAGGAATGGCATCCTCATACAATTGAAGTTGAGTAAAGCTTCCCAGTCAACTTTTTTCAAAAAGCACATTAAGATTTTATCCTGAGGCCACAGCTTTCAAATCCCTTTGTTTGGAATAAATTCTGCAGACATCAAAACCAGAGCATTGAACCTCAGGGACAATAACACTGTTAGAAAGTGGTGGGCCTTTTTGTTATTGCTCTTAGTTATGCTGGGGCATTTGTGAAGCAGTTCAGGGTGCCACAGACATCCTTGGCCCTTAGGGGAGGAGTGAGGGAGTTCACCTCAGAGGGTGGATGCTGAGAACTGGTGTGGAGGGTGCCAGGCCTGCCTGCCTCTTTTCCACCAGCCTCGTCCCTTCAGCTGAAGTGGATGATGAGGCCAGGTTGGAATCTCAGTGCACCATGTCTCTGTGGAATCCCTGGTCCCAAGTGTGCTAGTGATGAGGAGGGATCTATTTTTGTTCTATGACTTCAGGAAAAAACAAAACGAAGCACCCCAGAGGAGGTTTTCCAAAAAACTTAGTAGTGGTCTGGCAGAACCACGAAAGTTCAATTTATTTATTTATTTATTTGATTTATACCCCGCCCATCTGGCCTAAAAGGCCACTCTTTGCTTGGGACAACTATGCAGTTCTGTGAGTTTTTAAACAAAACAACCCGCAA